AGAAGATATGGAATAAACAAGTAAAGAGAAGAGACGAGAAGAGAAGAAGGAGAGAAGGAGGGAGAGATGGAAGGAAGACGTGACACGGCGAGTTTGACACGCGTGCTCAAGTAAGATAGTTGACATGCTGAATGTATCTTGGCAGCTCTTGGCTTAAGTCAGCACTATTGATATCTCCTAACAGAATGGGCGTCTGGATATCTCGGTTCAGCCCACAGAATCTGGCCAGCTACAGTTTGTAAAGCATTGTTTTAAGTTTGGGATGGAATATAAATTGCAGCTTAGTATAAATGAGGAGAACTTTTGTGGAGAATAAAACGGTTTGCAATTGATGGTGTCTCTTAAGTCCACATCACAAAATGTCTCCTCTCTGAAATCTGAAATCCTGGGATATGCAAGTGGCTATCATCAGTAGAATTGTTTAGCCAGGTTTCAGTGAAGCTGAATTCACAATCAGGGTTGCATCTGTTTAAAAGAAGTTATTCATCCATCTTTTCGGCGAGTGAACGTGCCAGTCCAGTAGTGGGATTCAATTTTTTTTTACTACTGGTTCTGTGGACCTGGCTTGGTGGGCGTGGCAGGGGAAGGATACTGCAAAATCCCCATTCCCTCCCCCACTCCACTAACCTGCTTTCCAGCTCTGTTCTCCTGTGCAGGGCAATGAAAGGAGACAACTGGGACTCAATGGGAGGCAGAGAAGAGATGGGGTTGGCGGGGCCAGTCGGAGGTAGTCGGTTCTCCCAACTACTCAACATTTCCGCTACTGGTTCTCCAGAACTGGTCAGAACCAGCTGAAGACCACCTCTGGGCTAGTCTAATGTAAGAGAAGTCTCAGTGCCAGGGTTCCTGACATTCCCTTGCGTTTTTGGATGTAGCTTGATGTAGGATAGTTTCCCAGCTGAAACTGTGGTTGTTACTCTCAGTGTGTTAGGAGATTAAGGAGTTTTCACTGGGTCTTCTGACTGCTAGTTGGTGTTCAGTGATGCGCTATGCTAGTTTCCCCCTGTCTTAGTCCTAACTCTGAATGGTGCAGATGACTCCTGATTTTTTTTTCCTTGAGTCTTTTGGTTTATTTAAGATATTTCAGAGAGCTTTAATTGGTTTGTGTGCTACAGTGATGTTGCATGTTCTAATGGTGTGTTGATGGTTTCGTAGATGTTTTTGATGTTGGAGTGTCATATATATCCCATTTCCACCCAACTAGGGAACATCATCGATGCTGCCTGAATTGGTTCATTTTGGATTTGGTTCATATATTTTCTGGGGCACCTGGAGTCCTCAATGAATGACAAGACACAAGAGAAAAAAATTCAGAGCATCATCTGCACTTGGATTAGAGTTTATTGATTAGTGACACCACATGGAAAAGAAAGCCTGACGCACAGGCTTGTTCTGTGGGTCAGCAGGCTGATCTTGTGGTAGTCAGGGAGATTCCGACTTACAACCTTCAAGGTGTTTCCAGCTGTATTCAAACGAGACTCATCTTGCACAGATAGGGCTGTTCGACGTCACAAAACTGGTCATTCCATCTTTTATAGTCTAGAAGAAATCAAATAATTGTTGAGACTTTTCTTGCAAATGTTTTTGGATCGCTCATCATTTGTACCGAAGAAAATGAGGGTTGTTGTTTTTTTTTGTCACAAAGAAATAACTTTCTTGAATAGGAACATTTCAATATACAGCTTTGACACTGTAGTTTACAGGTAGTCCTCAATTTACAAGTGTTCACTTAGCGACTATTGAAAAGTTACAACAGCACTGAAAAAATTGATTTATAACTGATTTTGACGCAACTCGTATGCCATTCTCCTGATAATGGAATCAAAATTCAAGCATTTGGTACCTGGCATGTATTTATGACTCTTTTAGTGTCCTGTGGTTATGTGAAATCCCTTTTGTGACCTCCTGACAAGTAAAGTAAATGGGAAAGCCAGATTCGCTTAATAACCGTGTTCCTAACTTAACAGCTGCAGCGATTCACTTAACAACCATGGTAAGAAAGGTCATAAAATAGATCAGTGGTCGCCAACCAGTCAGCCAGAGACCACTGGTGGGCCGCGAGAAAATTTTGATGGTCCACAGAGAAATGTCCCCCCCCCCCAAAGCAATTAAACCAGACTGTGTGGGAACACAAGGCTGCGCCACCCACATGGCCCGCGGGAACACAAGGCTTGCGTTGCTTGCATTGTGAACAACACGAGGTAGTGAGGGGAGGGGGGAAAGGGCGGAGGGGGGGGACTTGCCCCACATGCCCCACTCATCTCGCCTGGCCACCGGGCTCCTTCTTTCCACTTGTTTCTTCTTCTGCTTTTGGCTGCACACAAGGAAAGCAGCCAAAGTCTTTCTTCCCCCCCCCCGAAACTCTGCCAGAAATGAGTCTTTGGGACCCTGCAAGGCCTCCTGCTCCAAGAGGCTGCACTGGCAAAGACTCCTTTCTGGCAGAGTTTGGGGGAGAGAAAGAAAGACTTCTGCTGCTTCTGCTGTTTTCCTTGCATGAAGCCAAAAGTCTCTCTCTCCCTCTGAGAACGGAGCTGGAGACGGTATCCTGCGATCCCAATTAAAGAACGATCGATTGGTAGGAAAATGGGGTGGGGGATTTTCCTACACAATTTTTTGGGGATTTTCCCAGGGTCTCTGGTTTAAAATGATGAGTTTGGTGATCCCTGAGGTCCAAAAGGTTGGTGACCCCCGAAATAGAGTAAAACTCACTTAACTGTCTTGCTTAGCAACAGAAATTTTGGGTTTATCTGTGGTCATAAATCAAGGAGTACCTTTATGTTCAATTATTTCCACTGAATTCATAAACTGCAATATTTTCTTGACTGGACATTTTTATAAAAAGTTTAATATGAATAATTACACTGGTAATTAAATAATTGCCTGCTGCTTGACTCAATGCAATCTAAGCCTTACAGGATCTGAATAGGCCAAGTGTAATGCAGCATCAAGATGATTTCAAATGTTTCTTAGGATATACTGAAACCTATATAATTTCAGTTCATGATACCTAGACATACTTAGGTCCTTGGTTTTAAGCATTTATATTCTGGGGAAGAGAAGAATTTGAAAAAAAAAATGAAATGCCCAAATAACACTTGATAAAAAGACAAAAGATCCCATTGACTAATAATGATGCTATAGAAAATTTAAAAAGCTGATTGGAGAGAAAAAAATCAAAAGAATGTCCCAGTTTCACCGGGTTGCAGGAAAAACTCACTAAAATTCAGGGTCCCTGATTTTTCAGACTGCTCTTCCAAAATGCTAGATTATTCCATTGATGTCTAGATGGAGGTTTAGATTTCCAGAAGTAATTTTTTTTAAAAAAAATAAAAAGCCCCACCAATATTTTTTTAATGGTACTGATTAATCTCCACATATTATCCCAATGGGGCTTTTTCCAAAAGGCAACTGGACTTTCTTGGTGTGTGTGTGTGGGGGGGGGGGTTTCCTTGAAGATGAGCTTCTTCAGTTCTAGAAGTTGGAACTTGGAGTCCACAAGTCATAAAGGAGCCATTGTTTCCATCCATCTGCTCTCCTGGATGGGTGCATACACTCTTTGGGACTCATTAGTGATAGAAATGGTCCCTACGCGTGCATAAATTACTAAGTAGGATTGAATCTGGAACCAAGGCCCTGGGTTGTGTGAATGCAGTCTCTGACTTTATGCATATTGGCTGTGGAGGATTGGAAGGTTGTGCTTGTTCACACGTCTGGAAAACACATGAGATGTCTTGAGAAGTCTGACATAGTAGAGCAGAAAACCTCCTCCTTACCGGTAGTATAGAGCTCAACACAATTCTGCCTCCGTTTGCAGTTGGAAGGTTGATTGACTGCCCAAGGGATGTAACCCCCCCTGGAGTGGTCTTGCCATCTGAATCGTGTCTGTAGAGAAAGCAACAGAGGTGTCATCTCTCCAAGTGTTTTTCTGAATCTTGCAGAAATCAGGACATTTCCTCTCAACTATACTTCTCAACAGCAGAAGGGTCAAATGCAAGGGGGATCAAGTTGTCCAAGGGGACAACCGCTTAAGTATAAGCCAGCAGGGTTCTTCAGCTGCCGAAAGAAACCAAGAGAGGCTCAAGACCAGGAAAGGTGATAGCATTGCTTAATACTGCACTAGTGAGGCCACACTTAGAATACTTAGAATCCAGTTCTGGCCACCACCATACAAAAAACATGTTGAGACTCTGGAAAGACTACAGAGAAGAGCAACAAAGATTAGAGAGCTGGAGGCTAAAGCATATGATGAACAGTTGCAGGAACGGAGTATGTCTAGTCTAATGAAGAGAAGGATTAGGGGGTGACGGGTCAGCAGTCTTCCAATATTTGAGGGGCTGCCACACAGCAGAGGGGTCTATCTACTCTTCAAGGCCTCTGAAGTAGGACAAGAAGTAATGGGTGGAAGATCATCAAAGAGTGATTCAGCCTAGTGTGAGATTTTCTGACAGTGAGGTAAATTAATCAGTGGAATGGGGTGCCTCCAGAGGTTTTTTTTTTGTGCTCCATTGCTGGAGGCTTTCAAATATAGACTGGAGAACCAGTTGACCTTAGTGGTCTAGGGCTTCTACTCTGAGCAGATGGTTGGACTAGAAGACCTCTGAGATCCCTTTCAGCCCTAGTATATTCTACTTTCCATTCTAAAACACGAGAGAATGAATTCAGGCTCGGGTGATTACATGCATTTATTCGTACCTATTTCCTGTATTCTTACTCATATTTGTATTTATACCTATTATCTTGTGATTGACAAATCAAATGAGTAAATAAAATAAATTTTTACCACTCCTATCCATAACAAAGCTTAGTGGGTTACTCCAATCATGATTTGTGTGAGGAAACTTTGAGAAGTTGTGGAAGAAGAAATTAAAAATCCCTTCCTTAAACTCCTGGGCCTTGAAACGAAACCCCGAAGCCCATCACTGTCCCATCGTGCCCTCCCACCCTCAGAAACCTTTAAAAGGGCTGCATCCTTTAAAAAAAAAATTAAAACCATCGGATTAAAATCCATTACATCCCTTAGGTACGAGCTGCTTTTTCGTAAAATGGATCTACTGAAGAAGTTGTACGGTGTCAAAACTATCTCATCAAGGAGAAATCCAACCTAGAACTAAGGACAAATTTCATGACAGTGAGAACAATTGATTGGTGGAACTGCTTCCCTACAGAAGTGGTGGGTGCTCCATCACTGGAAGTTTTTAAGAAGATGTTGGATAACCATTAGTCTGAAGTGGCGTAGGGTTTCCTGCCTAGGCAGCGGGGTGGGGCTAGAAGACCTCCAGGGTCCCTTCCAACTCTGGATCAAGTTATTTCAGGGCTAGAAGCCGGAATGGGACATATAGGCATGGACCCTTGGCTGCGCTCCCCACCCCCCCGCCAGCCACTCACTTCAGCCATTTATCTTTGGCCCTTCCCTGGCCCTTCCCCACGGCCAAAGGGCCCCTGGCCCTCAGCCCCTCGTCCTTTGCCCCTGCCTATTGCACAAGCAGCCCCCAGCCAAGTGGAGGGTGGGGCAATTCGTGACTGGCTGTGGAAAGATACAGCACATCATTGCAAAGGCCATCAGAGAGGGGGCACCAGACAATTGCAGAGAAGTGAGGGAGGGCGCAGAGGTGGGTATTCAGCCAGTTCTGACCAGTTCTGGAGAACCGGTAGCAGAAATTTTGAGTCGTTCGGATAACCGGAAAATCCCACCTCCGACTGGCCCCGCCAACCCCATATCTCTTCTCTGCCTCCCACTGAGTCCCAGCTGATCGGCTGGGTCTCCTTTGATTGCCCTGCCCAGGAGAACGGAGCTGGAAAGCAGGTGAGTGGGGTGGGGAGGGAAGGGGGATTTTGCAGTAACCTTCCCCTGCCACGCCCACCAACCCAAGTTATGCCCACCAAGCCCACCACTGAGTGGGGGAGGGTGAGCCGGGCAACTAGTGGCAGTGGTGGCAGCATGCAGAAGTGGTGGTGCCAGACAAGTAGCAGAGGCTTTTGAGTAACAACTAGAGGTTGCCACCACTGCTGGTTGCCTGGCACACCTGACAGTCCTCGCAATGGCCCACTGCCCCCTTCCACAATGGCCCACAGCCAGCCATCGATCACTCCCCCATTGTCCTGTCCAGCCAAAGGCCCAGGTCAAAGGATGTCTGGGTGAATGGGCAGGGACCAAAGTCGAGGGGCAGAGGGTTAGGAGCCCATTGGCCATGGAGAATGGTCGGGACCAGCAGAAGAGGTGGCAAAGGAGGCACGGTCAGTGGTGGATGCCTAAATGTCCTAAACCCCTAGGACAGGGGTGTCAAACTCAATTCCTTTTTTTCTTTTTTCTTTTTTTATAATTTATGTTTTATTTACAGTTTCCTTTCACACCATACATATTTTGTGGGCAGCATATTGACTGGGTCAACGTCCTTTTTAAACAATGCTAACAGTGATAATACAAATAAGTTCTACTCACCCTCCCGCCTGGGAGTTTGTACAATCCAATCCAGATTCTAAATCTCTTTGCATAGTTCATGCGTAGAGCAGAAGATAAAAATGCCATTTCGCGATCACTGTGGATGGAGGCGAGGTGGCCATCTTTGCCATAGGTGATGCATTCTGACTGGGAGACACCAAACAGACAGAGGTTAGGGCTTCCTCCTTTAGATGCTGGCCCTGTCCTTTAGAGCAGGAGTAGCCAAACTTGGGCCACTTTAAGACTTGCAGACTTCAACTCTCAAAATTCCCCAGTATTCTGGGGGTTGAAGTCCGCAAGTCTTAAAGCGGCCATGTTTGGTGAGCCCTCCCTCAGTTCCACAAATCTATCCCTGTCCTTCCTGATGATTCCCCAACTCCATCATCCAGCACCCATCTCCATGACATCTAAACTCTCTAGCAGGGGTTGCCAACCAGTGGGCCAGGGACCACTGGTGGTCCATGAAAAATTTTTGGTGGTCCGCAGAGAAAGGTCCCCCCCCCAAAGCAATTAATCCAGAAGAGACCGAGGTTCTTGTCAACGATGGATCAGAGACCGCAATCATGCATGGCTTTGATCCATGCTTACCCTGTTGGAGGGGTCCTTAAAGGACTGGATCCATCTGACCCACCTCGTAGGGGTTGGGGGAAGAGGGGGAGACCGCCAGCTGGGTTGAGGGGAGCCGCATCTCCCCTCCCTGGCTCGGTAAACTCCCCTAGAAGACAGGGAGAAGTGGCAGTCTTTAATGGCTGCCCTGAAGATGGGAAGCTGCTGGGACACATGTTTTGTGCTGGAGAGTGAAAGTGGTGAGCGGCGTGTAACTGGATAAAAGACTTTGAACATTCTTTTTGAAAACCCAAAAAAGCGGAAAGAAGGAGCCCTCATTTGGAAGAGTGGTAGCGGCAAACGAGAAATAACAGGATAATATAAGGTAAAGAAAAAAACCAGAAATAAAAGAATTATATATAATTAGAGACTAAATTTGGAACAACATACAGAATTGAACATTAATCAGGCATTAGATAAAATGCTGGAGTTATTTGGAATTGATAAAATTTAATATAAATACTACGGAAAAGTGATTTAAAATAAAAGAAGTCTAAGAAGAAAATGATACAGAGCACCACCTAAGAGTTAAAGATTTCCTTATTTTATGTTTCTATGGAAAATTATTGATTGTATAAACAAGATCCCCAGAAGCTTATAAAAAAGAAGGGGGGATTACGGTAAAATATAAAAGAATGCAATACTTTGGGATTGTTGGAGGTTGATTTTGACAAGAAAACAGAAAAAAGAGAAAGTGAGATAAATGGACACTTTTGACAAGGACTATAACAGAAAAACTTGACCTTTAATAAAATAAAGAATAACTTAATAGACCAAAGAAATGGAAGAAATAAGCAAAGAACTTAAGTCGGACCTCCACTGTGAGACAGATGTTTAAAGAAAATATGAGACTGGTGGAGATAATGCTGAGTAAAGTAATGGCGTCACAGCTGGCAGAAGAACAAAGGAAGCTCAGAGAGGACGAATTCAAAGAGGAAAATAACAGCCTTGATGAATATGAAGAACAAGGACCATTGTCAAAAGATATAAAAGGACTTAAAACAGAGACAATGACAACAAAGACAGCAAATAAAAGAGATAAGACACCCAAGATCAAGAAGAACAAGGGAATATACGAGTAGAAACTCCAAAAAAGAGAACTGAAAAGAGAGGGGGGGGAAACAGGGCTGACAGGCAGAGGGAGATAAAAATAAAACCAGAAGGAAAAAAGAAGAAAGACTGGGGAAATTTAGAAAAGGGAAACCTAGCCCAAATTAAAAGGAATGATAAAGTTACGAGATTTAGAGATAAGGGTTAGGGATTGTACAATGGGGATACCACATGGGAATGTATATTGGCATTTAGTTTAAAACTTGCTGGAAATTATTTTAGGATTATATAGATATAGAGATAGAAATAGAAATAGAGATAGAGATAGAGATAGAGATAGAGATATATGTAGGTCTAGGTGTGTTCGGGTCTTGGTTTACATGGGAAAAGAC